CCGCCCATTGGCTGCCGGCCCCACCGCCCCTCTGTAAGCCGCCCCCTCATTCGCCACGGCCGCGATATGCCCCGCCCACTTGCCCTTCCTTTTAGGCAGCCCTGAGCCCTTATCCCTTTCCGATTGGTCGCTGCACCTGCCACTCAGGCGGAGTGCGCTCCCATTGGCTGTGAGATGTTTCCTGGGCAGACGCACAGCGCTTGTTGCGGTACGGAGCGCAGGTTGCTGAGTGGGCGGGGTGGACAAACTCTGCGCTGATTGGCTACAAGGAGAGGCACGCTCTGAGCTGATTGGCTGCCGCGGGGTTTGAACGCTCGCAACGGCCGCGCCCAGAGACCCGGATGGAGCGGGCGGGGCGGGAGGGACGCTCCCCTCATGGCCCCTCATGGCTCCTTTTCTCCCCTCATGGCTGCTGATCTCCCCTCATGCCTCCTCATCTCCCCTCATGCCTCCTCATCTCCCCCTCATGGCCCCTCACGGCTCCTGATCTCCCCTCATGGCCCCTCATCTCCCTCTCATCGCCCCCCACACCAACCCAGGGCGCCAGGAGAAAGCCGCTGTGGTCACCGCAAAAACATTAATGCTGTTAAAAAGTAAAAGAATATCGCATGTAGTGCGTTTCAGAATAATCAGTTCGTAGGAAACGAGCTGCCGGAAAAATACGACTGGTCAAGGTGAAAATCAGCCAGCTGGCTCCACTGCTGCAGCCCCGAAATAAATCAATTATGCCAAATGCTTAAACCGTCCTTTTATTTTTCATTTTCCCTAAAACTAAAGCTTACTGGTACAGAAAGGAATTCTGTCTTAGGGGTTCAGCGTCCTGGAATCTGATTTAGCACAATGTTTCACTGCAAATGTAAACACAATGAGAGATACATTTTCTATTTCTAGACTGTTCTGTTATCTGCCAAATTAAATTCTTAGATCGTCCAATTTTTTTTTTTTTATGCAACAATTTTTTTTTTCAGTTCAGGCTTTTTCATGACTGATCCAGCAGCTGTAAAAGCCCATTGACTTTTTATGATTTGGAAGAAAAACAAAATAGGAAAAAGCATTGGAAAATTATAATGGGTGTTGTTTATATGGGTATAGATTTGCTGATGAGGTTTTTGCACAGAAATTAGGACTATTTTCCTGATTTCAGAATAACAGTCTGGAAAACAAGGAGGTCACTTCAATGTTGACACTTGTGTCCAATTATTACACAAGCCCTACAATTACTTTATTTCACATTGACTAATTTCCATGATAACTTACCGAGGTACACAGAAATTAGGACTATTTTCCTGAGGAAATGATTTCAGAATAACAGTCTGGAAATCAAGGAGGTCGCTTCAATGTTGACACTTGTGTCCAATTGTTACACAATTACACAAGCCCTACAATTACTTTATTTCACATTGACTAATTTCCATGATAACTTACAGTCAAAATCCGCCCTTACCTGAGGTCCTTTTGACACCTTCAAGTACCCACTTGGGCCATCACTTTGCAGTGCCAGGCCAGCTTTCACTGGATTTTCCACTGCACGCTCTTAAAAAATGTCCTTTTCAGCCAGGTTTCCCCCACTCCTGGAACCAGGGGCCAGTTTCTCCTAGGTTTGCAACAAGTTCTGCAGTACAGGGGTCAATAGTACTTGTTTCTGGAAAAGATATTGGTGGTTGCACTTTAATTTTCACTTAACGTCAAGATCTTAAAAAAAAAAGTAATAAAGTCTGTATAAAATGTTGTGCTTGCAAAGACAGGAGAACCGTATTTATTTGGACAGGGGATTAAGAGGTTATAAGATGCATCACTTCTTGGATAAAGGTTTAAAAAAGAATATAATCAATACCCAAATGTTCAGTATATAAGTAGAGTGTCCCTGTGCATTTGGGAGTGACTTGTATTAGCCATTCTTACAATGTACTTGAAAATCCAGAATTACAAACTGATAAAGCAGTTTGGTTATTCTGGTGAGCCTGGAGTCCCAGGAACAGAATATAGACAAATTTTAGGTGTTAATCACTTAAAAACATGGCTAAGTTGTTGGGTTCTTTTTAAAGAAGTGCACTTATCCTCACTAAAGATTAGGACAGGACTGATGACAAAATAATTACTGTTCTTTATATGTCTGACATTTAAACATCAAAGTGCTTTTCTTATAAAAGGCTCTGAAATAGAAACACCCATTATTTTGTGTTCTGTAAAATGTAACATGCAGCTGAAACCTGCCCTTCCTTCCAGTTAAGTAGGCATCAGTAACCCAGGAGCACAACATTTCTTTTATAGTTAAACACCTTCTTCAAGCAGTGACACCCACGGGGAGAAAGCTTCAGGAGATTAAATCATTAAATAAATCCTGACTCGATGCCTGTGTGAGAGCAGGGATCTCATACCTGTGGCAAAAAGACAGGGAGGCCACTGGAAAAGCTGATGGAACCCCAGGAGGCCCAAGGAGACCTTGGTGCCCTGTGTTGTCCCAGGAATTTGGGGTCCAGCCCTCTTCCTTGGCTTCAGGGTGTGAGTTTACATAGGTAAACTGCCAGCCCTGAGATGTCTTGCAATCATCCTGGGGTTTCATTTATCTCTTTCACATTTTTTTAAACAAAGGGATCTTTCCCAAACCACAGTGGTTTGTTGTTGGTTTTTTTTATTTTTTTTTTTCCAATCAACTGATTTCTTTTTAAGCAGCTGGAAAACAGCAGATTCCTCAAAGAGCCACTGATTCAGTTTAGCCACAGCAGCAGTTTTCAAAACATGAAGAAGGGGAGAGATCAAGCACCAGATGTAAGTGGAGGGTCAATGGGAGCATGAGAAACCTCAGAAAAATCCCATCCAACCTTTTTTATCCCTGCTTTGAGGAGATGAGCAGCTGAGAGAGGAGTGGGGCTCAGTTTTGCCAGAGGTTTGGGAGCAGTGAGTTTTGTTGGAAGAGATGGGTACCAATTGTTACACTCAGGATGCTGAGTGTGGGTTTTAGGGGCAGGAGCTTGGGAAAGCAAAGGAACAAGGTATGCAGAGCAAGGGAGGCAGGGGAGCAGGGCACAAGGTGAAGGAGAAGGTGTGAGCACAAAATAATACAGAAAGACACAACTTTGTATAGAAATCTGGAGACCTTGGGGACTTACCCTGTGCTGCTTTCTTGGCAAAGCTTGTTTCTTCCCTTCTGTAGTCTACCCAAATGGACTGTGAAAACCACAGAAAAACCATCTGCTGGTGTTATTAAAAAAGGTTAAAGATGCTTGAGGGCCTGACTTTCTCGCTCATTCCAGAAACATTCTTCTGCAACCTTTAGAATCAGCGAGGTGGTACTTCAGTTCCAGGAAAGCTAAACTAAAAGCTGACCTTTTCGTTCTTAGAAACATATTTTTCTTATATTACGTTTTCATGTCAATTTTTAAAGGAAACTTGTGTTTTCCAGGACTCTATTTATATTCCTATATGACTTTTTAGTATTATGAATTCATTTTTAATTATTGTCAGTGTTAAGTTTGGTGCTCACTCCTTTTTTCTTCTGCACTGGATTCATAATATACGTGCATCTAGCTATTTAAATAAATATTTTAATTTGCTGACGATAGGACTGTGACTAAGTAAGGACTTGTGTAAAGGCTGAACTCTTTAGTGTTTGGGATGGAAAAAAAAATCTATTTAATTTTTTTTTTCCTGTCTTAGGTATAAGAAATATTCCTGTGTTAAACCAAAATTTGTTACTAACCCATGGTAAGGAAATTAAAACCCCAACAACTCCCAGTCCAAAACAAAATTACAAAATAAATGTACCTTAAACAAATAATCTTTCTGGAATAAATTTGTGATGTGTTAAATGGGAAACAGTATGGTTTCTTCAGGTAAAGTAAGGGTGTCCCTGAGTTTATGGAAAAGCCTTGAGTCTGAGCTCCTGTCGAATTGACTTGCATTGATCCATGCTGCAGCCTTCATCTCACCTCCTCAGCCTCTGCGCTCAGTGGGGAAGGGCATGCCCTACCTGAACACCGATATTCCTGTTCTCTGCTGGCAAAGAGCTGCCACCACAAATATCTGCTGCTACAACCCTAAATATGAAAATCAAGGCCAGCTCTGGCAGGGCTTGGAGCAGCTTGGTCTAGTGGAAGTTGTCCCTGTCCACGGCAGGGAGCTTGCAATGAGATGGTTTTTAAGGTCCCTTGCAACCCAAACCATTTGGCGATTCTGTGAAACTGGTGGGGTTTGCTTGTGGGTCGGGCTGGCTGCTGCCAGGTCAGCCCCCACAGGACCACTCAGCCTGAGGTGGGCAAAGCCTTTGGGTGTGGGTACAGCGGTCAGATGTAGGCATGGACTGTCAGCAGTGGGTATGGGGTGCCAGCAGTGGGTATGGGGAGTCAGCAGTGGGTATGGAGAGTCAGCAGTGGGTACAGGGTGTCAGCAGTGGGTACGGGGTGCTAGCAGTGGGTACAGGGAGTCAAGAGTGGGTATGGGGTTCCAGTAGCGGGTATGGGGTGTCAGCAGTGGGTACAGGGTGCTAGCAGTGGGTACAGGGTGCCAGGAGTGGGTACAGGGAGTCAAGAGTGGGTATGGGGTTCCAGTAGCGGGTATGGGGTGTCAGCAGCGGGTACGGGGTGCTAGCAGTGGGTACAGGGTGCCAGGAGTGGGTACAGGGAGTCAAGAGTGTGGGTACGGGGTGTCAGCTGGGTATGGGGTGTCAGCAGTGGGTATGGCGAGTCAGCAGTGGGTACGGGGTGTCAGCAGTGGGTACGGGGTGTCAGCTGTGGGTACAGGGTGCTGGCTGTGGCTATGGGGTGCCAGGAGGCAGCCCTGCAGGTGTGGATGCCTTTGTTGGCCGAGAGCTATGGAGGATCTCGGTCATCCCACGCCTCGTGTGTCCGCACAGCCCCTTCCCGCGGGCCCCGCGCCCGGCCCGGGCAGCCTCGGGCGGGTGCGATGCCCCGGGGCGGCGGTCGCCGAGCCTGCCGGCCGCAGGGCGGG